TCATCATCATCATTATCATCATCATCACCATCATCACCATCATCATCATCATCATCATCACCATCATCACCATCATCATCATCATCATCATCATCATCATCATCATCATCATCATCATCATCATCATCATCATCACCATCATCATCATCATCATCACCATCATCATTATCATCATCACCATCATCATCATCATCATCATCATCATCATCATCATCATCATCATCATCATCATCATCATCATCATCATCATCATCATCATCATCATCATCATCATCATCATCATCATCATGGCCATTATTATCTCGACTATTATTACCATTCTAAAACACCAGGTGCCACTGAGTGTGATATGCTTAGAACAATTAGCCTTATGAGTCATTTTACAAAAATATTGTTGCGAGTAATAATGGGAAGATTGAGAAGAAGTGTAAGACCAGAGATATCTAAAACGCAATTCGGCTTTGTTCCTGACAAGGGCACCAGAAATGCTATATTCACCTTAACAATGTTAATGGAAAGATGTATTGAAGCACAGAAAGATCTGCATTTATGCTTCATAGATTATTCAAAGACTTTTGACAAAGTTAGACACGATGAGCTATTTAAAATACTTTAAAAGCTAGACATAGATGGAAAAGATCTAAGAATTATCAGAAATTTGTTCTGGGACCAAAACGCTGCTGTACGAATTAATGGAGAATAATACAGTGAATATAATCAGATCAGGCGAGGAGTGAGGCAAGGATGTGTTATGTCACCAGACCTCTTTAACATGTACAGTGAAACAATCCTTAGAAACATAGAAGAATGTACAGGTCTCAAAGTAAATGGAGAAAATGTTAATAACATCAGGTATGCAGATGACACAATTTTAATAGCAGGCTCTGAAAAGGACCTTCAATTGCTTTTAGATACTGTTGTAACAGAAAGTGAACGTAAAGGATTATTGTTGAATGTAAAGAAAACAGAATGCATGGTAATATCCAAAAAAGCAGCAAACCCTAGTTGTAATCTCATTAGCAAAGGTGAAAAGATCAAACAAGTCCAACAGTTTGAATATCTAGGATATATGATAACATCTGACGCCAAATGTTCCACAGAAATAAAAAGGAGAACTACAATGGCTAAGGCTAGTTTCAATAAAATGAGCCCAATCCTGAAAAATAGAAACATCTCAATGAACACCAAAATGAAAGTCCTGAAATGCTATGTTTGGTCAACCCTTTTATATGGCTGTGAATGCTGGACAATCACTAAAGACAGTGAAAATAAAATGGAAGCAACAGAAATGTGGTTTCTTAGGAGACTGCTAAGAGTATTGTGGAAGGAAAAGAAATCAAATGAGGTAGTGCCTGATGAAGCCCACGTGGGACGCTCAATCTAAAAAACAATCAGGAAAAGACAAATGCAGTTTTCGGGACACCTGAATAGACATGAGGGTCTTGAACATCTAGCTCTCACTGGCAAAACTGAGGGCAAACGAGGCAGGGGTAGGCCCAGAACAACATACTTAGGGAACCTGAACAAATGGGTAACAGGGAAAGATAAGGGAAACGTAGCTTTTTTGAGAGCATCCGAGCAAAGGAATGAATGGAAAACCATGATCGCCGATGTCTGTCGCAGATCTCGCACTGGATGATGATGATGATGAATTGCAGTCGAAGATGCCATAGCAGTCCCCTCCCTATAACGGCCACCTGTACTAACAGCCTCCGTTCTGTGACATCTTGTGCTTTTCCCTATATTTCTAACCTGTCCATAGCCGGCCCTGCCTAAATTGGGCACAGTCAGTCATTTTTGCAACAAGTCAGCCTCAAAACTGTGTGGCGTTGGTGGCCTAATGGTTACGCTACCGAACTCGTTATCGTGAGGTTGCGGGTTCGCGGTTCGAGCCGAGAGCCCGACGTTTATTCCTTGGGAAAGGCACTTTACACAAATTTTCCTCCCTTCATCCAGGTGGAAACGGGTGCCCGGGTTATTATTATTATTATCATTATTATTATTATTATTATTATTATTATTATTATTATTATTATTATTATTTTATTATTATCATTATCATTATCATTATTATTATTATTATTAATATTATCATTATTATCATAATTATTTTTATTATTTTCATTATTATTATTATTATTATTATTATTATTATTATTATTATTATTATTATTATTATTATTATTATTATTATTAAAACGTGTTCATAGCGGTCACTTGCTAAAAGTTTTTCACCAACTCGTCCCCAATCTAGGTGTGTTGAATCAATACAAAGAAGGTCTAATGAAAGCACCCTAAGTTTAAAGGAAACAAAATGGAGAGATAAAAAGCAAGGTTTCAGATTTTCAACCATCTGTTCACTGTTTCTAATCTAGTAAGTAACCATAACTCAGAACCTGTCCATTGCAGTCGTCTGTCTTTAATGGTCACTTTTCTCTGTGATCTTGAGAGGTCGTCATGGAAAGGTTAGCATGTTTTATCAAGATGGTGATTGTTTTTGTTTTTGTAAAGTGTTTTACGGCGCTCGCAACTGCATAGGTCATATGAGCGCGCGGGACACACCTAATATTTTCAGTTGGTAGGAAATTTTGAATTTTTGCCCGGGTGGCGGCCGAAGCCTACTCTTATCGATTTTAGACCACCAAGGGATCTTTAACGTGCGCAACTTGCACACGGGCCCTCCGAGATTTTTCGCCCTTGTCCGAGAAAGCTAGGTGTAGTTCTTTCCTACCAGAAGATCAGGGGTGTGGCAGAAAGACAGCAGTAAGGAGGAGCCAAGGAGTAGCAGTAGAAAGGCTGCAGAAAGAGTCAGGAGCCCAGAGGAGAGGGCAAAGGAGGTGAGGGGGTGGGGACAGAAAGTGGAAATGAAAGCAGACAACAGAACATTGCTAGAGAGCAGGAAAGGAGGTGAAAGGAGACAATTTTAGAGAAGAAATTTTTTTGGTCGCTACCCAGATTCGAACCCGGGACCTTTGAATGAGAGGCCAACACCTTAACCTCTAGGCCACGATGGTGATGTTTAGTGACAGCCGTACAAGAACCACTGCCGGCATCAATAGCCCCTATCTACCATTATTGGAAAACTTCTAGCCAGATTCCCCTCTCCTCGTTTCTTCCGTTTCTTCCCTCTTCTCTATCTCTTCATTTGGCACCTGTCTGTCTGTCTGTCTGTCTGTCTGTCTGTCTGTCTGTCTGTCTGTCTGTCTGTCTCTCTCTCTCTCTCTCTCTCTCTCTCTCTCTCTCTCTCTGTCTGTCTCTCCCACTTTTTCTCATTCTATCCCCACTCCTCTCGCTTTCTCATTTTCTTTGTCTCACTCTTTCACTCTCCGTCTCTCTCTCCTTCTCTCTCTCTCTCTCTCTCTCTCTCTCTCTCTCTCTCTCTCTCTGTCTGTCTCTCCCACTTTTTCTCATTCTATCCCCACTCCTCTCGCTTTCTCATTTTCTTTGTCTCACTCTTTCACTCTCCGTCTCTCTCTCCTTCTCTCTCTCTCTCTCTCTCTCTCTCTCTCTCTCTCTCTCTCTCTGTATATCTTTCTCTCTCCCTGTCTCCTCTCTTTCTCCTTCGCTCTCTTTCTCACGCTCCCATCCCTTCCTCAACACTTACAAACTATGATTAAACTGAAAAGATTCGAACGCTGATCCCAGCTCTTACCGTCACATAGGCGAGGGCACAAACCGTCAGAGGTAAAATGACGCCACAGGAAGCGAAGAAGATGGAGTAAGAGGGCGCTGCCTTTCGGCTGAGGAATAAGATGAAGCACTGTATCAAGAACAATAGTAGTAAAGTGTACCATAATCTTGTTTCTGAATATCCTTTGTTATTGGCAGTAAACACCCTATTATAGTGCTGTCAAAAATTCGTGGCGCAACTTGTCCTCAAATATCTTTATAACGGATGAATCAATGTCACCCATACTTTGCACAGTAGTTTGTCTCTATTTGTCTTAGCTTAGTGATATTTTTCCACAACAATTGAGGTGAGGCTTGATTAAAGAACTTTTCGAGATAAATTTATATAAAATACTACAAACCTCCTTCACGCGGATAATAGAATCGTTCACAGCACTTCCCGCTTCTCACACCCATTTTGTATACGTATATGAGTTACGTCAAAGCTCACCAATGACACCTTTTAGTAGCAAAACTAGTTACAAGAAATTTATTTCTAAAAGTTCTCAAAACCTGCGTTCAGTAAAGATAATCTTGCGATTCGAAAAAAAAACCGGACTTGCTTTTAAAAGCGATATCGGTCCTGCTGTAAACCTTATAAAAACAGTCGAAACCACTCACAAGGATTTGTAATGAGTATTTTCAGAGGAATTTTCTAGAATAGAGCTAGCAGGTCTTTACAAAAATATTGATCTGTAAAGACAAATTGCACAAACTGGAGAGTTTATGCTCGATAGTTGAGGCCATACTTGACAATAGATTGCGCCACGAATCTTTTGACCACACTTGTCACGATTTGAAGGCTATGTGGAGGACACAACACGACACCTGATACCTTGTCAGTGTATCCGACTCGGAGAAAACATTGTACGCTGTAACAAAGAAGAAAGAAAATAACGAACATTTAGACCCCTCCCCTTTTTCCGAAAAAGAATAAACAAGTCACTTCCGTCGGAAAACATTGAGAAAGTCCCAAAACTCGAGCCCCCCCCCCCCCCCTGCCCACTCCCTTAGAACTTCATTCTGCTGCTGAGACTCTAAACCCACAACATTACTGTAATTTGGAATCTTATTTTAAATCACCTCCCATAGATTGAGGCTTCCTAACCTCGGGTTAATCAGTTCACGCCTGTGGGAAGGATTACTGGATGTGTCATTAGGTAGAGAAACGTACATTAATAATAAGGCAGGCAGAGAGACAGATAGATAGATAGATAGATAGATAGATAGATAGATAGATAGATAGATAGATAGATAGATAGATAGGCCTAGATAGATAGATAGATAGATAGATAGAGAGATAGACAGATAGTTAGATAGATAGATAGATAGATAGATAGGCCTAAATAGATAGATAGATAGATAAATAGATAGATAGATAAATTGATAGATAGATAGATAGATAGATAGATAGATAGATAGATAGATAGATAGATAGATAGACACATAGATACATAGATACATAGATAGGTAGGCAGATATATGTATAGATAGATAGAGACTTGGCAGCGGCACAAGCAATATCAAAGACATAAAAATTATCTAACCTGACGGTACCCTTCCTACAACACCCAACACATTAGACACACATCTCACCTGAAGATACAGTTCCATCGCTTGGGATCAAACTTGTAGATTCCCCAGCCCATGAGAGGGAAGGAGGCGTACAGAATGGCAAAGAACCAAGCCACAGCGATGTACACACACGTGAAGGACACGGAGAAGAGCGAGTGATACCTGGCGGCAGCTCGTGTGGCCACCACTCTGGGGAGTTGTAGTTGAATTTAAGTTTAGTTGAGAGTTTTACAGCACTTGCGACACAAACAGGTCGTGCACGTGCTGAAGATTACAAGTTTTACTAGAAAAGAGTTATGCAAAGAAAGGAAGGAGGAGAAGTAAGAACGATAAGTGAGAAGGAGTAAACCACACCAGAGCGCCCGCCCCCCACCCACACTATGATGAGAGATCAGGAGAAGTATTCAATTCTTCAAAGATGCAGCAGGCACATATTACGTGAGAACAGCAAACAAAAGGCAATTGCATTGTGTGTTTTGAACCATAATTATACCCAATTAAACAAAACCCCAACAAAAACACGAAGTATCATATTTCACAGTAGGCCTACAACGAACGTTCAAATACGTTTCTGCACTGTCTATTTTCTGCACTGTCTATGAATTGTTGCACAACATTGAAAGTTTGAGAATGTGACTTTTATCGTTCTGGCACGATAGTGTGTGTGAGGTTTTTAGAAAATCCAATACACGCTATTTGATATTTCATTGAGAGCACTCTTAGTAAAGGAAGTTCTTGAACACGAAAAGGAAAGGCTATTTTCAACGGAAACAATGCCAGCAACGGAGTCTTTTAAATATCACCCTGTCATAATTGTTTTTTAATTTGCAAGGAAAATAACCGGCCTTAATTTTTGAGACGATGTTAAGTGTCATATATTACTGAATGCCTTTTTTTACGAAACTGTTAAACATTGGAAAAATAAGTTCAAATCAGTCTTTATGTCCATTCTCCGAAGATGGGCGTCCAACCGTTCTTGTTACAGAGGAAAACATTGACTTAGTGAAGAAACTGGTATTTTAAGACCGACGAGTAACTGTTGGAAAGTTACCAGGGCACAATAAGAATGGGTGTAGGCTCCATAGAAACGAACCTGTATGACCACCTCCACATGATAAAGTTCTCGATAAGGTAGGTTCCTAGACCCTTGACACCAGAACAAAGAACAACGAAGAGTCGATCGTTGCTAGAAATTAGAATCGGGAAGAACCCAATGTTTCATCACGTTGTAACAGTGCAGGAAACATGGGTTAATTTTTTCATGCATTGGAAATTCCCCCCCCCCTTTTCCCATCCATTGCCATCGCCAAAGAAGGGGAAAGTGCAGCCTTCGAAGTGGAAAGGCTATACTGTCCTGTCATCATGGCAGACTTAGGAAATCGCCGTACAGTTACTTGGGGCAAGTAGTCGGCGCTGTTGATGAGACAACCTTGGCCAAAAAAGACGAGGGGAGCGGAGGAAAGGAATCATTCTGCTACAGGACAATTCTCCAGCGCACAGAAAGATGAAGGCAGCTCAGACAGTAAAAAACGAAAAAAGACAGTAAAAACAAAACAGTGCGGCCTCGAACTTCTCTTACATCCACAGAATTCAAGGAGTGCTCTTTGACATTATATTTTTTCTTTTTCCAAATCTGACAAAGGTTCTGTAATATCCATTACTATTTGGCAAACCATCTCTATTGCCTTAGTATAGGAAAACCTGGCAACTGTAACAACTGGCACGTATTTAGAGAAGAGTGGTCAGTAATAAAGCGTACGTCCACCGGTACAGTCGTGTCTGGCTCCTGTTGCTTTTAATGTCTGTCTAGATCTAGATCTTGTGATTGTGATGTCCTGACAGTACAGGTTCTTGAAGAACAGTGTTTCCATAGTGGATTGTGATGGCGATGCTATATCTGCTGTTGAGGAATAGTTTAAATCCTATCCGAGGTCATATTATGCTCTTGGTAAAAAAAAAAGCAAACAATTTAACTGTGCACAGAAGTACCATTTTGAGTATCAAATTTAAACATTTCTAGTTTGCTTCTTTTATAGTTGAGGTAAAGACTTATTGAACAGTCCGTGTATGCATGTCATTGTCTTTGTATGTTTTTACGTTTCAGATTAAGAAATGTAAATTGAAAAAAAAAAGAATAATGAAGTTGTATTTCTTTGTTGAAAAAAAAAAAGAAAGAAAAGGCTAAAGAAGCGTAAACCAACCACAATCCCCGTGTTTTCTACGACTTTTCATACTACTACTACTACTACTACTACTACTACTACTACTACTACTACTACTACTAAATAAGAACAAAACAAAACTCAAACAGAAAAAACCCACCAATTAAAAAAAATATCACAGTATACTCCTCCTTCCCTTCTCCTTTCATCTTCCACTCCAATTCTGAGGTTGTCATCTTGTCCTTTCGTCGTTCTCTTTCTTTTTGTCATCCCTCCCCCCTCTCCTTTATTGTTTTTCTTTCTATTCCCCAATTGATTTCAAGCTCGACAACATGACGCTGTCAGAAAAGGGAATGATGTTAAAAGGTCAGTGTTTTAAGAGGAAATTAATGTCAGATGTGTCTTTGTACTTTGATGAGACATTTCTTCCAATATTGGAAATGATGCAACATTTGACAGGCGCTTGTGAAAGGGTGGTTGATTGCATTTGTGCATCGTAAATAGTTTCACCCGCTTTGATGGCATTTAGATTTAAACATGTGATAGGAGGCGGCCTGCTTCGATTCTGTCTGCTGGGACAACCCGAGCTAAGTGGGAATAATGTACCTGTACATCACAACAGAAATACGAGGATAACCCGTAAAATAGAATAGAAAGAAAAAAGATGAATAAAATGTATAATTTATGATCCATAATGGCGTCAATTGACTCATTAATATTTGCTCTATATAATGGGTCACTTAAAAAATGGTCACTCAACATTGACATTCAAAAATCAGGCTTAGTAAAATTGAGCGAAATCAAAGAAACGTAAATGTGAGTTCGCGCGCCTATTGAAATGCATAAATATTTGATAGAATGGACATACATTGCATATCCAATGAATGGAGAATTTTGTCTCTTCAATAAACACTATTTTATTACGATAGTTTCAAACTGATCGGAAAACAGATCAACAGATCAGCCAATAAGTACCACTCAAAACTTGGATTCAACATTAAATGTGCTCGTTATTATCTTGATTAGGAGTTATTGGTTTTGTGTAGAGAAGGAACCTTTTGGGCCTGGACCCTATTAAATTTTGGACATAATGTTCTGTGAGTTCATCCCAAATGTCAAAATGCAAAAGAGGTTCTGAATTGAGAGCTAAGTCGCTTTTCTTCAGCTGCTATTTCATGGGGTTTCATATATCAGAAACTGCTGTCTGGAAAGGTATATATATATATATAAAAACAAAAAACAAAACAAAAACAACAACAAACAAACAAACAAAAAGTAAAAAAGTAAAATATTGAAAGGAATGACTCAAAGAGAAAAAACCGAGCCAATCAAGAAGACCGACAACTGAAAGAAACGAGTTACCATGATCGTCAGTGTCTGCTTCAGACCAGACACCAGAAGGAGAATTGTGCATGCTTCAAAGATATTGATTGAATCCTGCTAAAGTTAAAGCAATTTCGTTGTCTGACCTAACACGGTCCAGCATTGCCCGAGATGATTGCAATTTTCAATCATTTGGAAACAAAACATTGACAGTACATGCCAATAGTGAGACAACACTTTCAAAAGAGGTCTTAGCATGTAAAAAAGAGAATAACAAAATAATCTCAACGTAAGGAAGAAATCTGACCCCCCCAAAAAAAACCAACAACAACAAAACAAAACAAAACACAAAAAAAACAAAAGCAAAACAAAACAACAACAACAAGCAAACAAACCAAAAACACAAATCAAAGCAGGAAAATAGATTTAGACGGCAAAGTGAAAAGGAGAAATATAGAAAACGAAGACACTCAAAAGGGGAAAGAAGAGGGGGGAAATAACAGGAATTAAATAAGAAGGCAAGAAGTTATATACAGTGAAACGAAAAAAAACACAAAAAACACAAAACAACACTTGGAGAATTCAGGAGACCCGCGTTCGATTCCCGAGAGAGGAGAGAAATGTTGACCAAGTATCTCGGTCATTTTGCTGGGATGTTGTATCCCTTTCAGCCCTGCCTGGCTCTGTCTGACAGACAGGGTCGGAAGCCCTCTTCCCTTCTCCGTAATGCCGTAATGATCTAAAATTGTGCAGATGGAGGTGTACAAATTTACTTTACTTTTACTTTACTTTTATCTGCCGCTTATATCCTTTTGGGTGTCGCGGGAAGAAAGAGATGTCGTCTCTCTGCCTCCAGCCGGAGAGCTTGGGTCAGGGGGATGCCGTGAGTTGTTAATGTTTCCCTGACTCCATCTATCCATGTCTTTCTCGGTCACCCTCTAGCCTTGTTGCCATCGTAAAAACACCAACATTAAAAACCAAACCAAGACAGAACAGACCTGTTGACGGCTATCGTGGCGAGGCTGAATATGGAGGCAAAGAGCGTGGAGTGGTTGACCCAAGCCTGTAGGCGACACATCCCGCCCCCTAGAAGCCACGCCCTCTTCCAACGGGAGACAATCGTCATAGGCGTGACCAGCACGGACACGAGCAGATCAGCCAAACTGGGAGGGGCGATAAAGGAAGATCAGAACAACCATTGGTTAGTTTAAAAAAGAATTCACAGGTAAACAAAACTGGTGTTTTAGCGTCTGTGGTAGACAATTAGGCGCTTCGAGTTGCACGCAGAGAGCCTAAGTTCGATTTTCATGGGGATATATTTTTAGTTGAGTATCTACATCTTTCTGCTACGGCATTGTACCCTCAGAGCCTTGGAGGGTAACAGCCTGCCTCCTAAAAGATCTAAATTGTTTCAATGTGATCGATAGGACAGTAAAAATACAGAAAACCTAAAACATCTAGAATTCAGGAAAAGGTGGAAAGCGTTACTGAGTCTCCGACTCTCAGCTGTAAGGTTGTAAGTTCGAATCCCTTGAGGGGACCGACCTTTTGTCCACGGGAATGGCACTTTATATGACTTTTCCTCACTCCACCTAGGTGGGATTGCGTGCCCGGCTCTCAGAATCTGTCACCGCGGTTGTATGCGAAAAAAATACAATTATGCAAACTGAGCCAAAAAATGTGAAATCATGCGATTCTGCTAATTTTAACAAAGAAAGATAAAGGCAAATAAT